GAGTAGAAAATGAAGGCTAATCATGTTTTGGGTGTACTATTCCTTTAAAGCTGAATCTAAAAATATGGAAGTCCGGTAGATAGACGAGAGCAAATTGGGAGACTGCATGATCAGAGTTTCGTCAGTGGATGTTAAGGGGTTGTAATAAATCGGAAAAATAAATCAAAAAAGCAAATTCACAAAAAAGTCAAGGCTGATACCAAGAAAGACCATTGCCTGGTTCCTTTTTTCCATGAGGAAATTATAAAAAAAATACTTCAGGTTTCTCTATATATAAAATAGCCATCTCGCAAATGTCTTTAAAAGTGAGCTGAATCTAAAAACAGAAGCTTCCCTCACCTTATGCCTGGGTTGCTGTTGTGTTTTACACTCCCAAACTCCTGCAATCCACCAATCGCTCAGAGGAACATTGAATTCTCCCCTTGCTTGTAAAATACAAATACTACATCATGCATACAGGTGTTTTCATCTTTTGTTTTACTCCAAGGGTGTCCCCATTATATCCATCTGACCCGTAGCCCTTAAGACAAAAGAAGGAAAGAAAAAACAGCCCCTAAAAACAGGTCGGTGTTAAGCCCTGTAGATTTATGCGACCTAAAAAAAGAAATTAAACCTTGAGTACAATAGTACAAAGACATCTCACTAAATATGATGTTGAAGCAGCATTAGAGCTTCATTTATAGAAGCAAACGTTTTTTTAATGACTCTAAAATGCAATGTACAAGTCACCCAGGATTGTATGAATCATTAGAAAATAATCAGAAATGATTTTCTGGTTTCGATTTTCCCCATGTGATTTATCTTTTATTTTATTTTATTTTTTTTACAAATATGTAGTATTATCAGACTTAACTTTAACTTAATAAACACAAACTGAGGTAATTCTAAGAAAATATGTTTAGCTAGAATGTAAAACCAACCAGTCTCTGGGAAAAAGAATGCTTATCAGCAATAGTCTAAACAGTTACACCTATTAAAGAAACAGTCTGCTCATAAACATTTGGTTTAGTCAGGGTAATTGGAGAAAAATTGCGTTCAGGTTACTTTGTCCCAAATGTGTCTAATTTTTATAAAGGAAGAAATAGAGGACATATTTGCAAAGATTTAGAAAGAGTATATTTAGAGAATATTAATCCCAGATTAGAACCTATGTACTTGGTTTAAATTCTGATTAAAATGTCTCACTTCTCTTGGAAAAACATACAAAAGCCCCCTACAACATGCAAGTAATGGAAAAGATTACTTAAAAATATCAGAAATGTTAGCTTAAATTCAATCTTTAGTCATTTTTAAATGATTTGAAATATCTTGTGATGCCAATCTATAACATCTGGAGTCACAATTAGGCTAAACTATGAAAGCCAAGGCTGTGCCATTCAGCCTGGGAACGACCTTCATAACTGCGGTTGAGAAAGTAACTTTTTTTTTGTTTTTTTTTAAGCCTGGCTGAGCATCGCTGCTTCTAACTGCAGGTAAAGGAATATTTCATGAGACCTGCTTTTTATTCCCAAGCCTAGGCATGTGAAGCGTCACGGAGAAAAAAACGTGGACGCAGATAACCGCAAGGAAGGCTGGATCAGCTGAGGGGGGGAGCAGGTAGTGAGAAACAGCAGGTTTCTCCATTGCTCAGGGCAAGTCCTTAATGACTTCCAGACCTCTGCTTTCAGAGTCTCCTCTGTCTGGACCGCAGCTCCAGTTTTCTATGTGAGCTATCATCCCATTCGGGTAGAAAACAGGCTCACACGCATGGTGTCTAGCAGTATTATTTATATCTCTAACACTTTTCCGTATTTTGACACGAAACCATAAAAAGAAATTTTAGGCAACAGATCAGAACAAACACACTCATCTGATCTATCAACTAATAAATGTTTTTTTTTTTTTTTTTTAACAACCTGGAATATCTGTCCAACACGTGTCCTGTCCTGTTTTACTGAAAACTGTCTTTGTAAAATATCGGAATAAAACCTCATTCATTTTATAGATGCCCTTTTACCTCCCAGATACTTGCCTCCATTTGTATTCAGACCCTTTTACCCTAAAATATTGCATTGGAACCAACTGCTTTCTATTGACTCCAAATCAGTAAATGGTTTCCATCTTTATGGGTTTTATCTCACTATTTTGTTTAGGATTGCCTTCGACTGTTCTAGTTAAACAGTTCAACTGAAACATCATTAGTTCAACTTTTTTTATTTTCTTTGGTCCTACTCTTTTTAATGTTCTTTTTTGTTTCTGCATTTTTCATTTTTTATTGTATTTTTTCCCCTACTTGCTTTGATTTTGTTTTATTTTCTTATATTTTAATTATGTAAAGCAATTTGCATTGTCTTTGTACTGAATTTTGCTATGCAAATGCTATGCCTTGACTTGCCTTATAAATACATGTTTTATAAAGTTATCAGTAGCTGACAGCAGACAGGATAGGGATGAAAGTACCGGTATGTAGACTTTTAAAAGAGATGGCAGGTTAATTAAGGTGGGAAACACTGTCCTGTTAAATAGAGGGCGGTAGAGGATGGGTGTTAAATACTTGATGAATGTTGCACTCTAAGATAAAAGAGCAGCCAGCTGCTTGTGCATGACATAATTTGACCGGATGTGGGCTCTGAGACTCAAATGATAAAGTTGTAGATGTCAAAATTTTTCTGCAGAAATAAAAACCTATAAACACGGTGCATGCGGGGAAGATGAGATTAGCCCAGCATAGCAGAAAATGGAACTGCTCAACTAACCCACCAAGACATTACTGTCTGCTTAAGCTGACAGGCCAGGCCTGCATTAATCAGAGCAGCAAGCAGCCCAGTTTACCTCTGGAGGAGCTGCTGCTCAACTGAGAGAATCTGCTGACGGGTCAGAGCGGCTTACTGGAAGGGTGGAAAGAAAGATGTTGAAAGAAATAAGCCTGGTTAGTATGTGGTTAAAAAAAGGGTGCTGTGGTCAGAGGTGGCCAAAATATTACTTTCTTTTGGGGTGCACAAAAAAAAACCTTAAGGGTCTTGTCGGATTCAGACTTAGGGATATTCATTTGCTCTCTCTGAGAGCTACGAGCAAAAGTAAAAATAGAAAAATATCTTTTGTGAGAAGTAAGAGAAACACAGGCTCTTCTTATATTTGTTTATGAACATACCATGATATTTAAGTTGCATCTGTTTTTTTAGACAACCAAACCTGAAGATCAGGCCCTTAGAGTTTGTAAAAAAATACTAAATTGTGTTTTACCTGCACACACATCGGTTTCATTGTAACAAGAGCATGGCAGCATCATGCTGTGGGGATGCATTTCTTTAGATGGGACAGTGAGGCCACTTAAGGTTAATAGGATGATAGATAGAGCCAAATACAACACTGGAAGTAAGCATGTTAAAGCATTAACATACACTCAGAGGTTTTATAATCTGGTTCAGAGCAGATCACTGTTATGTGTTGCAAGAATGACTGAAACAATTCATCAGATTAAGCGTAATTAATGATTATTGAATAATTTTCTGCTAATTTTGTAATTATTAGTCATTAAATGGAGTCTAGCCTTTGCAATGTACTGGTGACCTGTCCAGGGTGCACCCTGTCTCTGGCCTATAGACACCTGGAGATAGGCACCTGAACCCCTCACGATCCCCAGCTGGGATTAGGCGTGACAGAAAATGGATGGATGGATGGATGGATGGATGGATGGATGGATGGATGGATGGATGGATGGATGGATGGATGGATGGATGGATGGATGGATGGANGATGGATGGATGGATGGATGGATGGATGGATGGATGGATGGATGGATGGATGGATGGATGGATGGATGGATGGATGGATGGATGGACTGATGGATGGATGGATGGATGGATGGATGGATGGATGGATGGATGGATGGACTGATGGATGGATGGAGTACAGCCTCTAAAACATGCCTTTAGCTGACAGAGTGACCAACTTAGAGAAGTAACTATACAATTGTAAAAACAAATATAAACATTTTTCCTTTAGGACAAAAAAGATTTTTGTCTGTTTTATTCTATAACAAAACTCTTTAAGGAACCTTTTCCTATCCGATTATCGATGGATTACTGAAAAAAAAAAAATCAACAGATTAATCAATTAGCACAATGATTGTTAATTGCTTCCCTAGTTGCAAAGACCTAGTCAAAGTAAAGACTGACCTATCTGGCACATTTCCCACCCTAAAACTACTCAGTAGTATTCCATACTTTTTTCCAAATCTAATCACAAAAAAAAAAAATAATAATTTGCAAAGTTTATGATTACAGTGTGCGGAAAAGCGAAATTAGTTCATCAAGCCACAGAAAACCCTGAGATGATCTCCTTTTTGCCTTTAGAACCTGGTCTTCTTAGAAAACTAGTACAATATTTCTTGCCCCAGATTGTCTGGCATATTGGGTCATGACTGCATCCTCTGTGGATCTGAAGATGTGATCTAAATCAAATCTAACAAGGAAAGGCAAACTTTGTAAATCTCCTAATTAGGCATGACAGAACTGTTTAGTAGCAGCTGGATCGTTCTAGCTTGCTGACAGTGTGTACCATTGTTTTCTCTGCTCAGCCAGTGGTGAGCCAAATAAAAACAAGAGGCTATCAATCTCATTCTGTTGGCATACAGAGAAGCTTATCCAAGGAAGAAATCAGATGTTTTAACATATTTTCACTGCTCTTTGATGCTGGGATAAAATATTTACCTTTAATCATTTCATGTTTTTGGTAGCATTTAATATGCACATATATTTTAAACATTACTTACAGAAGATGGATTGTTATTCATTTTGAAAAAGCTTGTATTTCTTGCAAAGTTTTCAAAATATGACAAACTGGTTTATAAGGGGCTAGCAAGACTCGCATCTTTAGCCAGTATTATAAATGCTGGCTGTAACTTGACTTTGGCAGTTCTTCTTCAAATGTGACGAAAGAAAAAAAAAAAAAAACACTTCAAAGCAGATTTGGTGATGTTAAAAATCTGTGTATTGGGGTAAATGTTTGTGGGAACTTACAAACATCAGGATCCTCATCTGATCCATCTGGACAGTCCTTCTCGCGATCACAGCGCCAGCCTTTAGAGATGCACGTCACCCCATCTTTACACACAAACTGCTTCGGGCTGCAACTCCTGGGGGCTGAAAGGACAAAAAGGGTGTAAAGAAATACATAATTTATACCAGCAGCCGCTCACTGATCTTTAGTCTAGAGATGTCATTGGCAATGGACTATCTGTTGGGAGTCTGGGGACCACTATTGACTCCCAAATAGTGGTCCCCTTTGGCCCTACCCTGTGTCTGACAGGAATTGGGAAACAGTACAAGAAAATGTAATGTCCAATTTTCTAGGCAGCTGGCAGTAGCGAAGCATTAGTGCGGGGCATCAGAAATGTCCAGTCCAAGGTTCTATGATCTACCCTCAGCCAAATGGTATGCTAATATATACTGTATATTAATTTAAGGCCTTTCATAGAAGCAGAGGAGAATTTAATCTAAATGCATCAGTCTAGACAGCCTCTTAAATGACTCCTACTGAGGGGTCATTTTGTTTGATTCCTCACTAAGAAGTTCTAAAAAAAAAGAAACCTTGGTTAAACACACAGTTTCTCTCCAGAGTTGGCTTATTTAAACCAGGCTATTGATAGCAATCCCAGCATTTGCTCTGTTGACCACATACACCATTGCCTAAGCGCTCTCTTTACAAGGACTGAACCACCTGAGGTTTTGGGATGTTTCAACAAACCGCTGCTGTACAAAGAGTGACTACCGTGCCCTCATTGGCCTTTTTTTTGCCGAAGAAAGAGGAGGGCGGGAACTCCTCTGGACTGGAAATTGAATTTGTCCCAGATATTATGACAGAACAGAATAGAACAAAATGCTATAGAATAAAATAAAATAAAAGAAAATATATGTTGTCCTTCAGAAGGGAAAATGAGGTATACCAGCAGCAATGTTACAGGCAAGTTAAAAGTATGCAAATTTACAACAAGGTAAAACTCTAAAAACAGAAAGTAACAATAAGAGACTGTCCAATAAGAGGAAATATACAGCATAAGAAAAGAATGATTTGCAGTTTTTCAAAATTGCATATTTAGTTTTAAATAAATGTACAACTTATTAGGACTATAAAAATAAATGTACAAAATGTGTAAGTTTATCTGTGCATGAAAGACAAAATACTAACAAAAATAGGCTCATGTAAAATTTTAAACTGCAAATACCAGGATGGATGTAAAAAAAGATGAGTTTGTTGGAAGGAGTGTTGATTAGGAAGTAAATGTTTGCTTGGAAGAAAGATCTGTGATAACGTTCATTTGTGTACCTAAAATGCAGCAGTCTAACAATGAAGGAGCTTTTATATTCAGCCAAGATTATAACACCTTAACCATGTCTCTTTGAGTGGTTTCCTGTGGCAACACCGAAATTTGGTCATTATAAATCTGTGCTTTGCCTTTTCTGAGTTTATGGGCCACTTGCGTTGGTATATTTTAATGCAATATTTTTTTTTTTTATACAAGCGTTCCAGCATATTTCCTGACTTCATTGCAAAAAGAGTGAGAATATTTTTTCTAACAATCTTGAGTCTGTATTTTGAGATTCTGACTGAAAATGAGAGCATTACCTGAGCAAAGGTAAGAACTGCCAGTCTAGACAAAGAACAGCAGAAACAAGACAGTTTAGGATAGAAGAGGTTAAATGATGGGATGAGGTGGGATAAACAGGATGACGGCGTTACACGTGCAACAACAGCCTCAAATTCCCACAGCGAGAGGAATCACAAAATAGGCTCAACCCAAATAGCATAAATTCAACCTGACATATTACCGCTAAGATTCTCCATATGTTCTCATCTCCACACCGCTTTGAACAAAGCGCTCGTACCAACAAGCAGAGGGGAGACTTTTTCTCTCTCACAAGTCAGAAGGTTTTGAATTATTCATGACATGCAAGAAGGCTCGTGTTAAAACCCTTCCACTTTGCTCCTCTTCTTCCCTCTTTGGAGCATGCTTGTTTGTTTGTTTACGGGGTGTCTTCAGCAGCTGTAGCAGGTGGGAAGATGTGAAGTGAACTGTTAATTCAGATGCCGACAAGAACCGACTCGACGTGCAGTTAACTTTACATTCAGTAATGGCGGTGGGAGGAGCAGGATCACTCACAAGCTGCTGGTAACAGAAACATGGAAGGGAGCAGAGGAAGTAGGTTAAAAGGTTAGTTAGCATGGGGTTGAAGTCTTACAGGGAGAGAAATGGTGTCTATTGATAATGACTTACGGTAATCTCTATCAACAATATACAATGGATTAAATAGATGGCCCCTTATCTGATTATAAAAACATTTAAATCCTATAAAGAATATAAGAGTTTATGTAGTATCCTGAAAGGAACAGATGGATTTAAATGTCATATGCACTAAAAAACAGCCACCCTTCCTTTTAAAGGAAAGGAAAACCAATTTTTTGGAATGTGTATCAATGCAACAAGCAAACCAACAAGTGATATTTGTTGGGGTAAGATGAGACAAGTTAAACTATTATATATCATTAACATAACCCTGTAGTTCCTCACCTCTCATGTTTTTCTTTATAAATCAGTCACTGGCAGCTATGTCGGCTAAAAACTCACAAAACATATCTGCATGAGCTTTAAAGGTATACTGGAGGATCTTCTTTTTTTGAGGTGGATAATTGAAATAAGTGTCAATAATTCTGGTGATATGTCTACATAAGGCCGTCCTACGTGCTCGTCACCATCTCATTTCCCGGTGGTGAGTATGACATAGTGGAAAAATTGCAAATCTTCTTTTGGAAGTAAGCCTGTATGAGCGATGCAAACAGCAACTTATAAACAGAGCGTGCACAAGGAGAAATGGGCTCATGCACGCTCTTGCAAACGTTTAATAGGCGTTCCCTCTCTGGAGTGGGTACAGGGTTGTGTATGTGCGTTTTTTTTTGTGTGCAGAGGGCGGATCTTTTCAAAGATTCGCGAAAATCCATCACTATATCTTTAATTCATTGACGAACTGAGGCATTCCTGTTTCTTCACCTGCAAACAATTAGATACCTTTCCCCCAAAAGGGGTGCAGCAGTTTGTAGAAGGAAAGGATGCAAAACTAAATCCACCATTAACAAAAACCAACTTAACAAGTTGACCTCAAAGCTTTATAACCAAATTTAGGTTAGCTTTTGGTATTTAAGCCCAGTGCAGCCTACCTAGCTTCAACACCTTCTTACAGCGTACAGTCAGCTTCGTCTGCGCTACCTTAAAGACTTACTGAACAGAAAATACGTTTTTCAGACTCCAGTTCTTCTAAGCTTGCTAAGTTATTTGTCAAGCTGAACTATTTTAGAACTTTATTAGCAAAGATGATTTTGAAGGACGGACGGTAGAGTGAAAAACAAAGTGGACTGAAGACAAGAGATCACAGCGAACGGTTTGTGAAGCTCTGGAGGTCGGGTGTGAATATCTGTGAATGTTCTGAGTGTAGCTGGAATATTGAGAAGGGATGGTGGAATGTCACACATGCTATCAATAAGCTGCCTGTTTTTCTTTTTTACCAAAGTGGAGTCTGTGTGAAGTCTGGACCAGGTTTCAAACCACGCGTCCTTTTGCACCCATCTGCTCCTGCTTCAAAATGAGTTCAGCCTGTTTCTTTTCTTTGTGAGGAAGAGTCCTCTGCTAAGGCAAACACAGGCCTTCACCGCAGTCCATGCACCATTTCCTCCAACACCCAAAGTGGAGCTATAAATAAGTTGGAAGTCTGCTTTGAGAGATCAAAGCTTCCTGCAGACCAGGAGACCAGTACACACCAGTTAGCAGAGTTAAGAGGATACCGGACTTCAAGTAAGAAGACATATCTGATCTTGTGTCTTTGCAGTAAGATCCCTAAAAGTTATGAAGTGCCGGAGATAAGCACAAAATGTCTTCCAAAAGCAGGCAGATCCTTTGATTTCTTACACATTTTGGCCCATTGGGACCTGGAGGTTCCACGTCATTTTCTGAGTATATGTGACACACCAACACGATATAGTGCAGATTTAACATGGGAGGATATATTGTTTTCAAGGTTCTTAACAGTTAAAAATCTAAAAAGTATGGTATGTATTTGCTTTTGTCCATCGTGGGTCAATGTTGTACTCAATGTTTCCTACCAGCTTTGGACATCTGAAGGTTTGCTCAATGTTCAAGCTTGATCAAGTGTAGTCAGATCAGAACATCTATGAAACCTTGCCGCTAAACTAAATTAATGTTTAGACTTTGACTTGACCGTTGTGACACTTTAATAAATCTAACCTCATATAGACAGGGCTCATTTGGAGCTCTGTCTATATGTTCAGGCTTATTATCCTTCTAGAAGGTGAGTCTCTTTCCCATAATCTAATGCCTTTTTTTGTACCCCATGACGAATTTTCTTCCAAGACTTCCCTCCATCCATCTTCCCATCAACTGGCCAGCTTTCCTGTCCCGTGATAGGAAGCACATGCTGCTACCTATACTGAGATTGGTATGTTCACTGATCAACAGTGACAGATTTCCCCTCATACTCTTTTCCATGTCGACCAAAACAATCCGTTCAGCTCTCATCTAACATTGCTCCGTGTTTGCAGTTCCCCTATCACGGTGTATGGCAAACAGCAAATAGGAATCTTCTTTATTTTCAAACAACAATAAATGACTTGACTGATTCTTCTAGATGAGCTCTACAGCTCCTCCACTGTTGAAATAGATCTCACAAGCTGGATTGAAGGATTGACAAGAGCCCCCTCAAACGTGAGTCCCTCTCCAGTAATATTCAAGCCTCATTCAAATTTCCTACGGTCCCTGAACTGATCACTGTGATCTCCCCTTCAGGCTTTCCAGTTCCGGTTCACCAGTCCACTGAGTTCCAGATCCAACTTCTGTATTTCATCTACATTTAATAAACCTGTTAAACTTTTTCCCTTGGTCTCTGAGTGGTTAGCTGCATGTGGGTCAGATCGCTTAAACCTATTATGACAGAAACAGTGTCATGAAGATATGAGGTCCTTAATCATTGTGATACTCTTTGATCACAAATATTCTCCAACAAACTTCTGAGGTTTTAAGGAACAGCTTCATCTAAAATTAACATGCCAGGAAGTTAAACGTAAATTCTGGATTTTA